TGCGCCAACCCCCAAGGAGGATGACAAGATGGAAGTGGATGAGCCGAAGGTCATCGAGATCGATGAAGTCTTTGAACCACCCACTACCACGCCTCCGGGGACGGACGGCCGCGATCAGAACAATCAGGCTCCTGCCTCTGCAGCTGGTATGGAGTTTGTCACTGCAAATGTGCCCGTTCCGGCTGACGGTGACAAAGAGTTCGTGCCGCCAGTGCTCACTGAGGAAGATGAGCTGCTGGTGATGAATGATCCTTTGGATGATGAAGAACAAAACTTGGAGTTGCTGCAGCCACACATTGCTGCTGCAGAACGTCAAGGACATGAGAATGTCGATCAACCGGATGACGATGAAGACCCCGACGAAGAGATCCTGTTTGACACACCGATCCTTACGCACTTGCCTGACTCAATGCGTGATGAAGGCTTCAAGGTGCAAGGAGTTTTGTATCAGCCACGCCTCAATCCAGAAGAGCCTGACATCGTCCGCATCTACACTGATGAGGATTCGATCCCAGCTCTTGAAGGTGAGGCCCTCCGAAAGTTCAAGCAAGTCACTGACTTTCAGGGGGGAGCTGGAACAGGTGTGAAAGACAAGAAGGGAACCAAGATTCGCACTGCTGAGGTTCCACCAGCTAAACGAACTGGTGCAGAACCACCGCAGGAACCCAAGCCCAAAGCATCCAAGAAGTCCTCAGAAGAGACTGCATCATCATCGTCGGACGTACGCCCGGCGGGAGCCGAGGCCGCTGCTGTTGAGAAACCTACGCCGAAGCCTCAGCCAAAGCCGACAGAACGCCCAGCGGGAGCCGTGGCCGAATCAACCACTCCTGCCACGGAGAAACCTGCAATCAAGTCGAAGGTGATGCCCAAGCCTCCGCCGAAGGCACCACCTATGCCGAAAGGTGCCACATCACCTCTATCAGAGAACCAGGTGGTGGCACTACAGTCCAGGGAAGTGCCCGGAGCCTCCAGACTGGACCACCTCAGCTCCGACCAAGTATGGCTATCGCGCCGAATCTCTGGTCTGCTGCGTGGGTGGGTGCACACGAACAAGCGAAATCGTGTCCCACCGCCGGCTTTCCAGAAGGGACTTTGGATGGAGTTCAGCCATGTCTACATGTACATCAAGAAGAAGTACAGACAATCGCTGACCATCGATGACATGCTGGTTGTCCTTACGAGCAACCATCGTTTCATGATGGAGATCAAGGTGGCGCCAAAGGGACTTTGGTCGGGGGAAAGAGGCCGTACACGCCAATGCGACTTAAAGCCATTCAGCATCACAACGACTGGTCTTACCAGAACGTGGAAGAAGCGCTGCCAGAGCACGAGCGCTTCATCGTGCTGGATCCGGAGTATGGCGTGGCCGAATACAACAGCGGCAAATTCCCTCGTATGCCAGTCAACGCCCATGGACGTGTCGAGGACATTCAGCCAACGATCGTCTATCACTATACGCACCATGCATCGATCCAGGATATCATCAACGTGGGTTTGATCCCAGGTGGCAACCGTACCGGTGACATGTACTCGTTTCTGACAAAAGAGGACCCATGGAGCATCAGCACGACAGACTATGCGGCAATGGCATCTACTCGGCCAGTGTGCATAGCTCTCGATTTGCATATGATGGCAGTACATGGACATCGCCTCGTGGAAACGACGGCCGGCACAATTCTTTGCCCTGACTGGATTTCCTGCCGCTATGTCATTTTTGTGTACGACATGTCGAATGCGTGCTACTTGTATGCCAACCACGTGTATGCTCATTACCGTGCGATCTTTCAAAAGAAGAAGAAGGCATTCTTTGAAGCACGCAGCGGGGGACCGCTTGCCGGAGATGAAGAGTTGATTACGTCAAAGCTGGAATCATCCACCAAAGACGTTCTCGATGACTATGAAAAATGGTGTGGCAAGGTGACCACATTCCATCCTTTCATCTTCGGTGGTCAGTATGAGGTGCAGGGTGTCAAGGATCAAATGAAGGCTGGAAAGAATCTGCCGGACCTCAAAGTGCTCGAGACAATGTATGTCACACGGCGGCCAAACTTCCGGGCGAATCGCAACTACGTTAGCCCCACGGAGATGCTGCCGAACTACAACCGGCCCAGATTCGACTTCAGAGCCTGTGATCCGGCAAAAGAGGGTTATGGCAAGACGCAATGGCTTGTAGTGGAAGGGATTCAAATGCCTGAAGGGCACTGCCCTACTTGTGAAATCCATTTCACTTTCGGCGCAATGAGTTGCGGCCAGTGCGGTACTTTCTTGAACACCGCATCGGATCTTTGCAAAGCCGCCCAGGTCATTCGAATGGAAGAGCTCGCCTCTGAAATGGGCGTCGAACTCTCACTCGATATGGTCCAGGAAGATCGGCTGCAAGGAACCGGCATTCGCAACACGCCTGCGGGGACGCATGGCCATGATCCTAGAGCAAATCGTTCAGGCATCAACATCCTGAAAACCAATGCTCGGAGCCATGTGAACAAGGCAGACAAATTGGGCATGACCATTTCGCAGAGACAGTTGACAGATCCTCTGTACGCCTTCAACTGCGCAGCTCAAGATCTTTCACCGCTCTGCATCAGTTTCTTGGAGAAGTTAGCGAATGCTGTCATTCCGGACCCTCCAAGAACACATCAAATGATCATGCAGGGGGTCGGACATCGATATGCTGGGAAGCTGGTCTACATCAACGATCCTGAGAAGGTGGGAGAGGCAGACATGAGCAAAGATTTCTTAGTGTATTGGAAAAACAGACTTTACCGACCCGAGATCTTTGCAGCAAGCTATGCCCAGAGCACAAAGCGACCACCGATTCTCGGATTCCACTCTGAATGGAAGACCGATGAGAAGGATCCCGATGAGCTTCTTCAGCTTCTGCTCGACTTCATCGCTGAGGACATAGCCTTCATCCCGAATGTCGACCTGCAACTTGGCAAAGAGACCAGGACCATGGTAGTTCCTCGAGCGAAGGCAGACTCAGCAACAGCGAAAGCCCTTGCGAGGGCTGCACAGGATCAAGCACGTGCTCACGAAGATTGGCACCAGACTCAATGGTCATCTGCGTCTTCATCGTGGAATCGCGACCGGGACTGGAGCCAAGGAGGGTGGCAAGATCGCTCAAGCCAATGGCAGCGTGATGATCGCTGGAGCCGTGATTGGTGGAGCTCTCGCAATTGGTAGAAACATCCGCACGACGGGAGTCGTTGCCTTTGGATTCAAAATCGAAAAACAAACAAAAAGGAAACATCCAACAGGCTGCATGGCTCTCAAATGTGAGGGTGTTCTTCCTCCATCGCACCGCGGGAGCGGTTGCCGTTGATGATCGCTTCTGTGATGCACCGGGGGACCGGATGCCGAGCTTCGCTATTGCACCAGCATGGTAGAATTCGTATGTTGAAGGTCGAAGTACCTGTGACATTGCAAGTCCATGAGACGCACTTACTTTTGTAGTGCTGATTCGCCACGCGGGAGCGTGTGCCGACCGGTGATGCTTCTGCTTTCTGAAAGGCCAATCGTGCACTTACCGCTTGATGCGTCAAAAGATTGTGCTGTTTCTTCATGAGATGACTCAATACATGTATAGCTTTGCAGTACGAGTGAACACTAGCATGAACTTGACAGTGACTTTCGTGCCCTTTGAGGTCAATTATCCTCTCCATCTCAAAGGCAGGAACCGGTTTCGTCCGAATCGCACGTACCGGGGGACCGGATGCCTTCGTAGGTCCCAATTCACTGTACATAGTCTTCACTCCTCCCCATTTTCGTTCAGCGGGGGGTGTAGTTTCACGCTAGCATGTTGACATGTACGTCTCACTCGTACGACTTTGGCTCAAGGAAAACAAGGTGCGACTAGGTGGCGCTTCTAGGTCGTTTTCCTGTAACTACAAAGCCGGAGGACGTTGATAGCCACTGGAAAACCCACTTGGACTGAGCCTATGTAACCCTGTCACTGTCAACCCTGTTGGCATTTGGGCATCCCACTTTTCCAGGACACCTCATTGTAATAGTGCCCAGCCAGACCACGGTCAGCTGCGCACTCGAGGTGATGTTCCGGCTGCAGCTGGCGGCTGGGCATGGTGGGTGGGTGTTGGTGAATGCGAATGCTCACGGAACATTTGCGGGCCTCCTGATGGATAGACATGAAGATATTGAACCTACTGTCCTACACTTCACTACACTGCTGATAGATTTCCAGTGGACAGCATGTGGCAGGTACAGATTCCTCTAAGATTCCTTCGAAATTCTGCTTCCGGCAAATCTATTTGGGCCCTCTATGGAATTTAGAAAGTTTTCTACGGGGCAGTCAAGGATTGCCATGGATTGCCCAACGCCATTGAAATTGCTCATTCCTTTCTTGCTTTCCATGAGTTTCTGAAGTTGGCTCAACAAAGCACACGCGAACGCAAATGAGCAATCGTGGGCGAATATTGTTATGCCACGGTGGTCGCGATACCCATCATTGCGCCTCTGGAGCCCTTAGTCACAGCTGGTTTGTCCTCTAACCTGTCTCAGCCGAGCTGGATCTCTCCAGGAGGGTTTTGATCTTGCGTGGCTTTGCCTTGTCTTGTTTGTCCCAGCCCTCAAGATGCATTCTGATCACCCGGTATTGAAATTGAAACACAACAAGATGGACAGATACTACATTATCTGTACCACATTACTCTGCAACTCTAAATCGCATGCTCGCTCAGCAAAGGTCCCATTTCTCACCAACATGGCTGATAGGGCTAGGGCTGCCTGGTGTGAGGTCCCCACAACCTTGACTCGGACTCTTGAAAATTGAAGCAGGGGCACATGTACTATTGTCATTTTATATATGTCAGAACCCACTGGACCCTTTGGTAAGTCTTCACAATTATCCATTTACCGGCGTCTATGGCATTGATCCGCGCGGGCTTCCCGTTCTCAACATGTTTTCCCACCGTCTCACACCGAGCACCCCACTTTGGGAGCATGGACCATCATGCTCCGGGAATATTTTCTGCTCCGGGTCCACCATGAGTCGCACATCCCAGGCCTGGATCTACCTGGATGCCGGTTATGGGAAGGTGGCAGGTGACTGGACCTGGTGGTCGGAGGTGCCAGCTCTCGCGGTGGGGAGGCCCGGTTCCCGGTTCGATGGCCCAGATCACGGTCGACTTGTGGTTGCCTATAAAGAGGAACAGCTTCACATACTGTAGATATCTGTAGATATATTTTTATAATGATATACACACCGTATATAGAAGCACCGAGGGCAAACTAGTCTGGGCCTGATGAAGCGACTGTGCACTGCGATCTGTTGCACGCAGGCATCAAACTGGCAGAATGTTCCGGGAAAAGCACTAATGGCATGATGGGGATGCCCAACACCCCAGAGGACTAGGAACAAGAATCATGTCAAGAGTACCACCCAAGAATGGACTGACAACTGATAACCAGTCGGTTTTGCATGGACGGTCCGTTTCTGGAGGAAGCAATCAACTACTCAGTTTGCTTGATGCCATTCAGCTCATCATAAGGCGTTTTTGCACCAAGCCAGACACACCAAGACCAGAACGACTAGAGCAGAGAAGTTGAAGCGGCCGGCAGCTCCCAACATAATGCAACCTACCATCACCTACCCTAGTCAGGGGTTGCAAACGGATCGTCCTTGATGAATCCCATCGAATCATGCCCTACCTCTTTGTTCCACTCTAACTGCTCCTTACTTTTCGCCCGCACTCACGAAGGACACCCGCGTCCACGTCGGTTTCGAGGTCTACTTGCAGGGCGCGCCTGGAGGTCGCGAGCTCCTCCGCTGGGATCGCACCAGCTTGGCGGGTCTGGCCGTGCGCATGGCGACGGTGGGCACTGCCTGGGCCACTCGGAGCACAGAGTCGGTGCGAGCCATGGCCATCATGGCCCCATGGCTTTTGACACCCAAGAACGATGGATTTCATGTGTTTTTTTTTTAAATGTTTTTGAACTTGTTTTACTAAGGAATGTACACAACAACAGGTCAACCCTTCATTTAAAGGTCTTGGAAGGCTTTGGCATGGCTATCTTTGTGTCAGTGTTTTAGCCCATTTGACCTGTCCCGGATGACACACGTTTGGATGTTTATATTTTCACGCCTTGGGGTCGATGGCCTGATGGCTCCTTGGGGTCGATCACCAGCTGTGCGGTTTCAGGCCGAAGTCCTGGTGGGTCCAGCAATGCTCTTGGCAGTGCTCATAGGTGGATGGGCTGGGGCGCTCAGGGGCGGGGCAGAGGAAGTTCACCAAGGATGTTGGATCTTTTTAGAACTTGCAAGAACCGCAGGAGCTCGCGCTGTTTTCAAGCATCAAAAGGTCTGCGGTACATGGACATCTAGTGTCTTCATGTCGTTGGTTTCATGTCTCAAGATCAAGATTTGAGTGCTTTGGGGCACTCCCCCTTTGAGCTTTGCTCAAACTCTTCACAAAAGCACTTTGTGTGCAGGCTCAAGACCTTCTTTACAGATCATACCCATCCAATGCGTCGCCGGATTCTGTGTCCGAAGGCGACCTTCCGACCTCTCTAAGGCCAATCACATCCCACTCATTGATCGACGATCTGTCGTCCGCTGCCGTGTCAAACGTCGGACATGGTGCCGGTGCCTTTGCACTCACAGGCTGTTGTTCATCTTGTCGAACTGGCGGTAGGCCAGGTTGACCCATAGTGCCCAGTACGATCTTGCCCCGTTCACCAGAGCCTCCACGTGCATAACCAGCCTTTGGATTCGGCGGAATCACTGACTGGTCGTGTCTGGATGCTGGGCTGAGATGACTTTGCTTTGTCTCCGTTTGTGTCCCGTTGTCGAGATGATTTTGCTTTGTCTCCCTTCTGGATGCTGGGCTGGGATCACTTTGCTTTGTCTCTCCTTGTCTCCCCTTGTCTTCCATGGCATGTCTGGATGCTGGGCTGAGATCACTTTGCTTTGTCTCTCCTTGTCCCCCCTTGTCTCCCATGGCATGGGCGAGTTTTGGCGCCAGGAATGGATCGGCCAAAAAAGAAAACTCCGACTGCCGCTGCTGTTTGGCGTCGAGGCTGGTGTAATTTTAGATGTTGATTCTATATATAATAGGTAGATCAACAGAACCGAGCTGAACTGTAGGTACAGGTAGATCAACAGAACCAAGATGAACAGGTGGCCAGTGGTGCGTGAGGTGATCTTCCAATGGTTGCTTTTTTGCGGTGCAGGCATATGTAGCGATGGATGACGTCTGCGGTTTTTGAAATTCTGCTGCTAGGTAACTGGACTATTCATTGTAGGCTCTAGACAATTCTTCATAAGAGCTGTCTATGTAGCTGATGCAGTTACAGTCTCATCGCCATTCCTTTTTTTCCATGACCCCACCTGCACACCCCACAGTGGCCTTCCACTGTTGGGCCCACCTGCCTGAGGTCCGCTGGCTTCCCATCATCATGGTGATTCTCCTGCATGCAGGCACTACATCTGCGCCGGAGAAGCGTTGGAGCACGTCCTCTCGCTTGGCGATCCCGGGTCGCTGGTCTCAAGACGCGGTGGCGATTGGTATCGCCCGGACATCGGCGCGCGAGCGGAAGGTATCGCCCTGTGCATGGAGGGAGGCTGGGCCATTGGCATGGCTGCCTTGGCCGCTTGGGTGGCCCTTGTTCCCATGAAGGCCGGGCGCATACCGCAACCGTGCCGAACAAGAGGTGGAATGGTCGAACGAGGATGGAGGGGGGTTCCTGGAGAGAGGTGTTTGGGGTTCCAGGTGCTGTTCGAAGGGCAGAGGTGAGGACCTCTATACTTTGTTTGATTTCATTCAGATTATCAGTTACCCCTGCCTCAAACTATCATGGAACCTGAGAAAACCACCCTTGTAGGGGAAAAATGGTCTTCCAGAGGCCTACGTTCCACTTCCATGCTTGTTTCCGGGGCTGCCCATCCAGCCGGCACGGGTGGTGTCGCGTGCGCGTGCGACAGGCGGACTCTCCTGCGGCCGCAGGGTCACCGATGAACAGAGGTGGGCTGAGCCAGGTCTTTGGATCATGTTAGGCACGTCTTGATGATCTGGATGATCTTGATGGTGCCACTGCCCAAGACCCTGCTTCACCATACGTCCCCTTGGTTGAGCGCTACAGCCACTGCCAGGCCTTGTTCGATTATCGGATGGGCTTTGTCTTTCTTGGTGCTTGGGCAGTGCACTTTTTGCCGCCAGCGGGGCTGTGAGCCAGCCAGGTGCAGCCGGCTCAGTTGGGGTGCTTTGGTGATAGTGTCATCTCAAACTCATAACTGGCACGCTCGGGGTTTTCAGTTTTCATCTCCAAATCACTACTGTTTACTAGACCCAGCAAAGACCCCGACGAACATGTAGGCGCAGGTGCTAATATATGCAAATATTATAACCTGCGCAATCTTTCTTGCCACCATCTCATCTTATCACATGTCTCTGTACATGTCTTTTACGGAGCGCAGGCCCGGTGCCCACCGTGCTGCTGCTCAATCGATGGCAAGTGCCGCTTGATTTCTCAACACACCGGCGGTCATTCCGCGGGTTGTGTTCAACTGAGTGGGCCCATGAGGGGGAGTGGGCCAGGAAAAACAACCTATACCTAGACCAGTGACAATTCAAGGATCTAGGCCTGCAAGGAGTCTATAGTCTATCTTGAGTTTCCTGAAAGCATCTCATTTTTCAGCCAGTCTATGAAAAATCATTAGCCTCCATATGCCTCTCGTCTCCAAATCCGAGGTTCAGTGGCGCAGAGACCAGCGTGAACTGGGAGGCCGGGACATCTTCCGCCATTCCACTACTAGACACGGGACAGGGATGTCTGGGGATGAATCGCACGCCAGCCGGGGCCATTAGCCACATGGCCACGGGCCACGGGTGCATCTGGGCAAGAAGGAGCGCAATGAAGAGTAGTCCACTGAGCTCTGCATGTAGCGATGTGAGGGGCGCAATCAGATTTGTTTGCACGTCCGGCGGCAACATGCTAAGCGTCTGCTCAATGTCATGCAGCGAGTGCATCATGGTTTGCACTCGCTCATGCAGGGCAGCATCAACTTGGTGGTGTTCACGCGCCAGTCGACGCCGGCGAGCGGGGTGTTCACGGGATTCCTGCAAAGGTCCTGCCACTTGCACACCTGTTCGGGCACGCAGTCGCCGCTCGTAGTCCCGTACTGTCCAGTCACCGGGTTGGCGCGGCAGTGCTTCAAAAGGACGAACTTGCAGGAATGCATTTAATGCGTCAGCACTGTGATCACAAGGGCTTCCCGCAACATGGGCTTCGACATAATTGGCCGCTTTTCGTGATAGTCAATGTGAAGGATGTCACGTGATGTCAAGAGTCCGGTGATTCTGGTCAACAACACACGTGACCAGTCTGATAATGAATCATCGAAGTGGACTTCAGTTGCTTGGCCCTTGCGCAGAGGTGTCTAAGAAGTGCGTGGTGTTGTCCTTGGCCGGCTTGATTTAGGACAACTGGGGCCAAAATTCACGAGTTCAACTCTGTCTCCAGGGTCTCCCAAGAAAACCATAGAAAACCTAGCGATGGGTAGCATCCCAATCACCAAACATGAGAAGAAATCCCTCAGCTGAAACCACCTCCAGAAGTAGATGTACTGAGCTTTGAATGAGAGGCTTGCATGCTTGCATGTATAGTTTGGTAAAGATGGATCTAAAGCATTTTTGGACATGGTCACTGACGTAGTCCTATGCTGTGAAATCGTGAACTGTAAACAGTTACATGGCCAGAAATGGCAGACGGCCACTCGTACTGTGCCAACGATTTGGCTCAAGACTTGGAAAAGGTGCAAGGGTTGCTTGAATGCCGATCGTCGTATCGTCCGCTGCCTTTGCATAGGGAAAGCCAGGTTTCAGAGTTTCAACTGGTTATCAGCCGCAAGAGCTACAAGGAGACCATTGGTTGAAAAACGAGACCATACACATAGCATCGTGTCAAGCTTGGCATACGAAACACTGACATAAGACTAAGGTGTGACTTGAACATTGAGTTGAGTGAAGAGAGAGAACACATACTTGGTTTGAGCTTCACTCGTTGCCTCGCGCCTCCGAGCGCGATTCATGCCACCGCGTGAGAGGGAGCGCGATAGGTCGCGCCGCCGGCGTGGACCTCGAGGCGGTGACCCAAGCCGCCCAAGTCAGCTGTCGAGGAGAGAACGCGGTCTCCCTACTGAAGACCGAGGAAGAGAGCAACACCGTGATCGTGGTGTAGAGTACCGTCGAGTTGATCGTGGGCGTGGTCGAGATCGCGGCACAAGCCGCGACAGTCGTGACTGGCCAAGGACTGGTAGGGGACGCGGTGATCGGACGAGTCATCGGGAAGTCTACCAGGCGAGATCTCCGCGTCAACCGCGGTACCCACCGCCCCACGTGACAGAGACGTGGGAAACACGTCGGGCACCGCCGAGGCCACATAGCGAGAGCGAAGAAGAGACCGAGTCGCGAGTTGATCACGTTGAGCGTGGTCGAGAGGAGCGATCGCGATCCCGAGCTCGCGGAGAGTGGCGACAGCTCTGGGTCTGGGTACCTGAGAGCCCGGAGCGCGACGAGGACTCGCGTGAAGACATCCCTGAAGAGGAGGTTGAACTTGAGGGAGAATCTGTCGATACCGAGACAGGTGAGCCCAGAGTGCACCTTGCAGAGGCCGTTGAAGCTGCTCCGGAAGTTCCTGGTTGTTCACCTGAGGTTGCGTCGGCTGTCGATTTTTTCGGCGACCGAGGATTCGATCGCGAGGCAGGCTACAGAAGCAGCCACCGAACGTTCCGTGTCGACCGAACCTGACACTCTTCGTGAACGAGCTCGTGAACTTCGCACGAAGGCTGCTCGCCCATCAGCGAGCAAGCCATCGCCGTCGGTGAGCGAGGAGCAGATTGAGGAGAAGCCGCCGGTTGAGAAGCGTGTCAAACCACCTCCAAAGGCTACATCGGCTAAGGCCAAGACGAAGAGGGAGCTTGTTGAGGCTGGTGACATTGTGCGTGAAGCTGGTGTTGAAGAGACATCGCGTGCGCGCGAGGGCGAGAGGTCGTCGGCTTCTGGGATTCGACGGAGTTTGGAAGACATCCCAACTCCGCCTCCAGCTCCTACTAAGGAAGAGATCGAGCAGGCCGAGGCTGCAAGGCAACTAGAGCTGCAGAACTTGCCGCCACCACCTCCGGCTCCTCGTGTGCCGCCGGTTCCGGCGACTGCAAGGGCCGCGTCGAAGCCGCAGCTGACAGAGAGGATCCAGCCGGTCGTGCTTGCCCCAAGGCCGAAGGAGCGACCGCCGCACCCAGACCAAGCGACACCGTCGACGTCGGCTCGCCCTGCAGAGCCCCGAGGAGATCCTCCAGTCTGGCAGGACAAACCCCTTGTTCTTTTCCACAAAACGTTGAGCTTCCCGAACAGCGATCCGCCGATCGCTGAGGCCTCGGTTCAGACTTTGAAAGGGCTAAAGGAAAAGGGTTTTGCTGTGGGCGCGTTGAGCTTCGCTTCAAACAAAGCCACCCAAGAGAGCGTGGCAACTGGCGTGGCAGATTTGGAGCGTCGGCTTGGTTGGTCGCTTGACGTGTTTGCGATTACACGTACCAAGTTCTCCACCGACGCTGAGCAGGGAGCTTCGATCACCGGCCACATTGGTTGCAAAGCCAAGTTGGTTGCTCAGTTTGGACCCATCATCTACGTGGACGATCAAGGATCGCTGCTGAACGACGTCCGAACGCTCCAGCAGAACGTCCCGCTCGGTAGCAAGACTCATTGCGTATACGCGCTGCAACGCTTCCGAGGGGGAGCGGTTGATCCGGACATTTCCGAATACGAGCGAACTGCCCTCCGCACGGGAGCTCGGCTGCATCTTCAGCCGGTGAAGAAGACGGAGGTCAAGCATTGTTGGTAGTGGTGCATTTTGCGTTGCTTGTGCCAACATTAGTCGACCAGAAAGGAGTTGATCACGTTGAGCGTGTTGACATTGTGCATTGACCTTTTGAGGGATGGTGCATAGAGTTGGTGGCATTCTGCAATAAATCCGTCCGCCGAGGAAGGCCACGTGTCGGGTTGAGCAAGCTGCATTGAATTGAGACGTTGTGCATTGATCAAACATTGATTGGTGGACGTCGGAGGAGGTTGAAGGCATTGGTTGTTGGTGGGTGAACATTGTTCATTGTCGTTGGCCAGAGCTTGTACTGCCTTCGCGTCTGGTTCGCGTACCTCCGCGACCGACGCGACTCGTTGATCGTGTTTACACGACTCGCTGCCAGAAATCGCAGCTTCTAGCGCGTGGCAATAAACTCCGCGACAAACGTCGCGTGCCGGCAGTGAAAAGAGGAGGTTGGTGCTGCTCAGTGGGTCGAGACAGTGTTTGTTGTTGATTTGAGTGTTTGCGAACAAGCCATCTGTAGTTAGTTGAGAGTTTTTCAACTGAGTCGGGTCGAATTGAGTGTGTTGAGATTGAGTTGATTGCTTGAGTTGGATTTCAACTTCTTGCACCAGTCAGTCGATGTCAAAACGGTCGCTTCCTGCAACACCCTTTCGTGTCATCGGTCCTGAAGGCTCCTACGAAACCTCGAGCTCGTCCATTTCACCGGAGACTGGGCTTGCGAGGATGGAGGGTGAATTGGGAGCTGGTGGAGAATCCGGGCTCCAGGTGAGCGTGCCGGCTAAGGGAAACACAAAAGCTGCAGTGAGTCGCATGAGAACTCAGAGTTGTGAGCATTCCCAACCTTCTGGGGTACAAGGTGATCCGCCGGCTGTTCCTGGGGTGCATGTTTGATCAGAGTGATCAGAGGACCCTCAATCATCTACAAGTACTCAACCAGCACAACATTGACCCAGAGACACTTGAAAGAATTGTTCAGGGTTACGTTCAATCGCAGTTGAGCCATGCAGAACAGGTGATACAGCATGAACGACAACAACATCAGCTCGAGCAGCGAAATGCAGCACTACAGTTGAGCCTTGAACATCAACAGATGAACCAACATATACAACAACAAGAAGCCAGCATGGCACAACAAGCACACACCAGGATCAACCAGATCACGACAGAGGCACAAGCAGAAATCCTAAGGCATCAGCAGATAGCAGAACAAGCTCAACGCGAGATACAACGCGTGACAGCTGCAGCAGAAGCCAGGTGCCAAGACCTTGCGCGTGAGAACGAAGCCCTCCGAGCTTCGCCTGTTGCTGGTTATTTTGATGCGTGTCCGTCGGAAGCCGGAAGAGCACCGTCGGTTGCTTCAGCCTCACCGTTGAATGTTGTTTACTGCCATGTGTGTGGAAACCAGAATGTTGTTGGACGAGGTTGGTGTTGGAACTGTAAAAGCAGTCTTGAAGAGCCCGAGAATGGTACGGACCCTTTTGAACCACCATCTCATGAGAGGCATATGTACCCAATGCCTACGCGACCCTCTAGTGTCGCGACCATCAGGGAGCCAGTCAACATACAAAGGAACATTGCGTCGCATGAAGGACCATCCCATGCAGAAGTTCCTCTTCCTCGAGCCCCTGGCGGTCCGGGACCGTATGGCATGCCGTGTGGTGCAATGCATGATGGTTCACACGTTCATCATCTTGGTGTTGATCCCAGGTTGGTCTATGGAATGTCGACCCCAAAGGCTGTTTCAGAGTCAGGCAGTGCCCCTGTTCCTCGCGTAGGATTTCAACGGGCCGTTCCGGCCATGCCATCGTTCCCAAGAGCTTCAATGGGACCGGCTTACCCACCAGGGGGGTACATCGGCACTATTCCAGAAGCACCTCCAGGTGTATCATCATCGAGTCACCCAC